CTTCAACTGTGGAAAGAATTTGCCATGTAATAGAGGAGGACCTTTAAAGCTTGTCACAGCTTTCAATCATAGCTTTAGCTTTTGATTCTTTAACAGTGACACGTGTGAGTAGGGACGTTTTGCATAAGCACTTAGCCTCACAAATTGCCTCTCAGAGGACTGAGAATCAGTTGATGCTGGCACGAGAGGAAAGAACACTGTGTGGTGGTGATAATAGTATCTGCATACAGTTTGCATAACTGAAACCCACGCTATCTTTTCTTCTAGCTTTGAGATATAATTGACATATAAGACACAATAATATCTTAATCTTAGTTCTGTTCCATAATTACCTTTTCACCATCACTATCGCTTAGAAGTCATGTGTAACACCATTGATTTGATTCCACCTTTCCATTTTTTTCTTTTTCTATTTTCATACACACACACGGAGCCCCTCTCGGTGTCAGGAAGTGTGCAAAATGCGGCATATCTGGAGGTCCGCAGGACAGAAATAATCACTTTCTACAGCTCTTCAGAATTGTAGAAGGACCACAGATGGAAAAAGCACTGCAGATGTCAAGGAGGGCGGATAAAAGAAATCGACAACTGGAATGATTGTGGTATAATGACAGTATATCTAAAATAAAGAGAAAATTCTGAAAGCTGAGAGAAAAGACAGGCTGCCTGCAGAGGAATGAAGGTCTGGTTGACATTTCTCAGCAGCATCCGTAGAGCCCGTATTTATCATCCAAATAGGAAATGGGAATAAAGACACTTTTGGACATACAAAGACGAGCAGAGTTTTCTACCCTCAGCCTTTAACTGGAAGAATTAGTAGAAGTGGGGCTCCCGCCAGAAGGAAATTGCACTCCGAAGCAGGTTGCACCACGGCAGAGCAATGGCACAATGGAGAAGTTGGGCATGTTAATAAACTTAAGTAACCTAAATAACTGGCTGTCTCCCTGTCCGGATAGGAGTACAAATAAAATGTTTTTCCAGTTGAGGCTATAACTACGCAGGCTTGGTGCTTGATGGCTGAAAGTCTTCTCTCTGTGGTGATTATTTCACTTCAGGTAAGGGTTTTGAATGAGAAGTCTACTAACGGAATTCCAGCCATCTTCTTAAAGTTATTTTGTGCGTGTGTAGTTTCCCTGCAGACAGGACTCACGGCTTTCTTTCATCACACACTTCAAGGGGCTTAGAACCTGACCGTGGTTAGGAACTCTTGGATTATGGTACTGTCCCCTATTAAAATGAGATTACGTCGATGTTCGCTCCGAGGTTGAGATTCGATGACCTGAGGTTGGATATTGGATATTTCCACTATCTGTGGACCTCTTGAGGCCCTGGACAGATTACTTTTCCTTCCACTGCGGTCTGTCTGCACAACCGGTGTGGCTCGCCACAACGGTGATGTATCAGGCCCCTCTGACTCTGTCTCACTGCCACAGGTGGTATTGGACTGTAGCTGTCAGGATTTTCTAAAGGGAGTCACTGGGGAGCTATCAGAAGGAGTAAAGCTTCTAAGTGACCAATTTTAAGGTATAATAATAGGTTTAGTACAACCCTTTGTGAATTGAGCACATTTGTTGTCTATGGTGCGGGGGCGGGGAGAGGGGAGCAGTTTATGTTCAATTATTACCTCTCAGTGAAATTTGATACTAATACAACTATTAACTGGTGACCACGTGCAACTTGTGTTTTTATACTTCAGTTGTATGTTAGATACACGTGCAATTTTAATTCTACTCCACCACCTGTTCAGTACTTATTTACTGAGAAATGTCAACCAGATTTACTGAGTGTTAGTGTCAGGCTGGCCACGAATGTAAAGTTGAATGTGGTGGGTCTGTCCCTGAGGTATAACTTTGACTTAGGATAGAGGGTGGGAGGCTGTAACATAATCCTCAGCTTTAACCTAGAACCTAGTAAGGTCTAGAGGAAGCTGTTCCTAAAGTATCCCGTGTCCCCTGCCTGTCCCTTGAGGTGTCGCCCTCCAAGTAGAGCTGAGACCAGAGTAGCCCGCACCTCCTACAGGGCTGCTGTGAAGGCACAGAGCCCTCAGACTCCTCAAACGTCAAAAGGTCTGTTTTGCCTGTATAATAATGATCATTATAACGCAATTGGTTTCTAAAGCTGTTCCATTTGAAGGTAGATCGGAGCCACTGATTAGAGCTCTCAGATATCTCCACCCCCACCCACCTCCCCAGGCCTCCTTGTGCCTCCGCAGCACCCCCCAGGGGCAGGGGTGGGTGCACCAATGCCAGTCCTGCTGGAGAGAAGCGACCCCAATCTCATTCCATTTCCTCTCCCAGGATAAGGGTCAAGGGTATCCCCAGAGGGCGAAGGGAGCTCCTTTGTCAAATGGTTACCGAAGGCATGGGGAAAGTTAATATACCTCTTAAAAGGAGCATGCACTTAGAACCTTCCCTTTTTTATGTGAAATACTGAGAGATTCTCAGTTTCAATTGAATAAGATCATAATCTCGTCCTACCTTTATTTTTTAAAGAAGAATATCTTCATAGAGCTGAAATGAAATGACAAGGATGGCTAGAGTTTTGAGATGGGACTTTGTCGAAAATGTGAATATTGGAGGGTAAGAATACAGTGTGGCCTCTGGTCTGTCAGTTCTTTGCAATTCTATTAGGACACTTAGATTACAACTAAAACTTCTACAAACCCATTTAGAGGGGTAAGAAATTCATTAAACTGTATTGTACGCTAAATTGTAAATGAAATCCAAGATTGATGGATTGATAGTTTGGGGTTTTAAATTGAAATTTTCTTTCACGTTATTTTTAAAACTATAGGATTCACCATAAAGATTGGTTTAGAAAGTTTTAAAAATATTGATGTTATTTTATTCTTTTCAGTTAAATTGAGGTTACTATTTTTAAAAAAAAATTGATTCTGGCCTCTTTTTATGTATCCCTCAAACTACTACTTTCTTTGCCATTTCTAGAACCAGTTGGAGTGTGTTATTTAGCCTAAAAGTAGAATAAAATAAGCCCCACTTTTATTTTATTTTTTGGAAAAGTGAAAGAGAAGCACAGTTCATGTTATTCTTCTCTGAAAGTGGGAAACCAAGAGTCTGATCCCATATTTTCATTATCAAGTTACGCACACTGGGAGGTGAGGATGTTATATGAAAATAGCAGCTCTGCTGGAGGAATGCTTGTGTATGGGGGGGGGGTGGGAGAGATTTGCAATGTGTGTGGTATACGCGGGGGCTTGTGTGGGCAATGGCGTGATTGAATCGGCCAATAGGGACAAGCCTCAGTGCCATCCAGTCTACAGGGGGCTTCCTTTCCTTCTTTCTCTGAAGGGTTTTCCATGGCCTATTCTCCCCAAGAGCCGACAAGCCTCCCACTAGGCCTCCGACAGTGGAAGTTTCTCATTGCTGCCTTGCCTGTGCTCTGGGGCCTCTTTCCTCTTTTGGCTGTTGCCGTGGTAGGTGTCGTGCATGGGTTTTGATTCTAGGTCTTGGGTGTGGGTAACTGACCCTCCGCCTCCTCCCTGCCATGGCTCAGCAAGTCCTCCAAGTTGGAGATCTCGTAGTTTTAAGTTGCCTGCCGCTGGTCTGGATGAACCCACCCTGGGACCCTGAAGCCACGCCTTCAGCACATGTTTGAAGGTCTGCCCAGGCCAGGCACTGCCCTAGGCGTGTGTAATAGATACGTGAAAAGCACAAAAATCCCAGCGCTCCTGGAGTTCCCGTGGGCTCCTTGGTAACTCTCAGTTGCCCCCCTTCTGGAGTGAGGGGTCATTTCCGCAAGCCAGGGAAATGTATTCATCTACTTGACCTTTTAAAATTTTTTTCATCTTCCCATTTAGCATAACAAATGACTAAGAGTGTCCTCAAGGGGTTTTTAAGAGAGAGAGACAGAGAGACAGACAGACAGGAAAGCGTGTAAACACGTCTACTACCCAGAATGCTGGATCTGTTCCATGGGGAAGGAAGGTGGTGCAAGGGAAGAGCGACACTTCAGCTGGGGCCTGATTTTTATGACAGGTGTGCTTAGCTAAGCCTCATGGTCTCCAATGAGCACATGGAGGGGGCCTGGTTGTGGGTGGGGGATGGATGTAGAGGACAGCGAGGGTGGAGGGAAGGAACGGGCAAGGCCAAGCGTTGGAATGCCTTGACTTCAGGCTGCAGAGAAGGCTGAGCTTCCCAGAATGGCAATGACGTGCCTTGCCCTCGGTTTCAGGAGCGTCCCTGGGGGCCACATGTGGGACCCCCTGAGAGCAAGGCTGGGGGCCGGGAGGCCTGCAGGGCGATTTTCTTTCATTTATTCCTCTATGAATTCAGCATATACTTAGCTGTGGCTTGCCTTGACTTTATATGTATACATGATTGCTGGTCTTAGATGCTATCTTAAGAAGAGTAGAACCAATTTAATGCCCTAACCCATCTACCGAGTTTGAAGTTTACATTCTTGTGTCTTTTTGCTGAGCGACCGAAAGGTGCATACGAAGACGACTAGAGGGAGGCCAGTCTCGGGGTGGGTGTGCGGGCGCCACAGTCTTGGCCGCGAGTGTCCCCTGCTCTCGGCCTCCCTGGTCAGGGACATGTAAAAATACAGCTATCTGCTCTGCTGCGAGCGCAGGTCGATACTGTCCTCACAGGGGCTAGATTGTTCAGGATTTAATTCAGAGAAAACTGATGTCATTACGTTTTGCGATAAGAACCGCAGAGAAAAACTGGGAGCAGCAATATAATGGGTTGTCCTGACAGAATGCTCAGCTGCTGTGAAGGAGCCAGCCCACTGCTCTTGGTCAAGGACGGATATTGCATTTTAAACATGTGGTGGTTGTTATTCATTGTCCTTTTTTTTTTTTCCTAAGGTAGGAAATGTTGTTCTTTGGACTGAGTTAAATGCTGCTCAGCATAAAAGACGTGGTGTGGAACAAAGCCTGCAGACTGTGACTAATTGACATGCGCTGGGCTAATGAGAAGACAGGACGGCTGTAATCAGCAGCAGAACAAACACTCACAAAGGGTCTCCTTCTCTCCTAGGACTTCCTTCGCCGGGCATCTGGCCGGGATTCTTGTTGGACTCATGTACATCCACGGGCCTCTGAAGAAAATCATGGAAATGTGCGCAGGTACAGAACAAAGCACCTTTGACATGACAAGTTGGAAGTTCATCTTCATTTTTATGGGAACAGAAGCAACTCCAAGTTACCCCGTGGGTCTGCTCAGGAATTCCCAATGGTTTAAGTCTCTTCTTAAACCAAGACGTATAACACAGTTCCTCACACTGCTCCAAAGAGGCTGCAGACCCACATTTGAAATCTGTGGCTTTCTTAGGGGGCAGATAGTAATATACATGTATACTCTCAGCACTAATGCTATTCACAGAAATCCACGAGTTCCTTGAAAATGCAGAAAGCTAAGTAATGCATTATCCTACAGCATTCCATGCATTCATAAATGTGCAAGGCAAGCTGAAAAAGAAAAGTCTGTACTGAGGTTCAGGGCCAGCACTTGAAAGAGTTCAGAGCGACCACTAGGCCCTTGGCGGGAGACACACTCGTGTGGGGCCAGCCCAAGTCTGCTATTGCTCAAAGGTTGGCTCCTGCTTTTTAAAGATTTTTTTTTCCTTTTGTTTCCTTCAAACTGATGCTCAATATAAATACTTTATTTTATTTAGTGGTATATTAATTTTTTAGACCTCAATTTAAAAGCTATGCTGGTTATGACTTCTAAGGACACTCTTTTGCAAACACTTGTTTTATAGACTGTCTGGACTCCAATATTTCATCTTTTATTCATTGGAAATCTTCTGAGACTATTTTACCTTTTCTTGCACCACAAATGACTTGTTTTCGCAGCTTGTGCTGATGACTGGTATTCTTGAGGACCTTGCAGTATTCATGGTATTAGAGAGCTTGCCAGGCACCGCCTGGGTGCCCTTGTTAGCAGGTTGTGTTCGCTCCCGGGTGACTTTTACAGGTCGTGCTGCATCTAAGCAGGTTCCATTTTTCTGCATTTTCTTATTAGTGTGTTTCCAGCATGTGTGCTTGGAGGAGGCAGTGGGAGCTTCACTTATTGAAAATGTCCAGTTTTACTATATTTTTGATACAACTTAATAATGGAAATCTAGTAATGAGCTTTCTTGCCCAAATGCTCTCAATACTGATAAAAGAAAAAAAAAATTATTCTCAGGAGCTGAATGTTTCATTTCATATTTCTATGTGTGTCTGGAGATGAAGTGGTTAGTAATGCTTTCTGCACACATTACAAAATGTAGGCAAGTATTTTCTGTTCTAAAGATGATTTCCCCTGCAATTATAATATTTAAACTCTCAAGCTTTCCTTCTTAAAACCTTGCCTTTTTTCTATGGCGTCTTGGTTTTGCATCATTCTATTTTCAAAGTAATACAATAGAAAATAAAAGTGGAAACAAACATTCAGTTCTATTTACAGAGAGCCTGCAGTCTCTGTGCCTTTTTTCTGGTAGAGCAGGAGAGAGATCTAGAGTGATCTGGGAATTGAGGTGACACAAGATCCCTCTACAAAAGAACCACACATGCAGGCTGCTGTCTGGTTACTTCTGGGAGAGGGGCACCCCTCTCTCCCTTCCTTCAGCAGTGCTGACTTGCCCATCCCTCTGCCCTTTTAAAGACAAGAGAGGGGACAGTCCCTTAGGAAGGGTGAGGAGCATGGCTCTCCTAACAGTCTTGCTGAGGGTGAGTTCTCTCTATAGCCAGAGCATCTCTACTTATACAGAGGTCTCAGAGCTGAAACTTGGTACCTTGGAAAGCAAAGATCATCAACAGAAACCTTTGAGGAACTTCAGAGAGTGTAAGTCAGGGTTTCATTGTCCCCCACATGTTCTAGGGCTAGCCCCCCAAAAAAGAGACTTTATTTTAACAATTGTTTAGAAACCAATTGAAATGACCTTGGACTTGGTTACAAGAACTTCCTTATTGGAAAGATTGACAGTTAAAACCTTAGGACTATTCTGTTTCATTGGCCCATATGTCTGTTTTTATGACAGCACCATACTATTTTGGTTACTGTAGCTTTGTAATATAGTTTGAAATCAGGATATGTTAAGACAGCTATTATCAAAAAGACAAGAGGTGAGTGTTGGTGAGGATATGGAGAGAAGGAACCCTGGTACCCCATTGATGGGTATGTAAATTGGTACAGCCATTATGAAAAAGTATGGAGGTTCTTCAAAAAATTAAATATAGAACTACCATATGACCCAACAATTCTACCCTGGAGTATATATCCAAAGGAAATGAAATCAGTACCTCAAAGAGCTAGCTGCACTCTCATGTTCTTTACAATGTCTTTCTCCATAGCCAAGTGTCTGTTGATGGATGAACGGATTAAGAAATTATGAGATACATGATAAAAGAAAACATGAGTATATGTAGATAGATATAGATATTTCACATTATGTATATTGAGATATATATAGAGAGAAAGAATGATACAACTTTATATATGCAATAATATATATACACAATGGAATACTATTCGGCCATAAAAAGAAGGAAATCCTGCTATTTGTGACAAAATAGATGAAGCTGGATGACATTACACTAAGTGAAATAAGCCAGGCAGAGAAGGACAAATACTGTATGATCTTACTTCTATGTGGCATCTAAAAAAGTTGAACTCATAGAACCAGAGACTAGAACAGTGGTAGCCAGAGGCTGGGGGAAGTGGGGAGATGGTGGTCAAAGGGTACAAACATCCTGTCCTAAGATGAGTAGGTGCTGACGATCTAATGTGCACCATCACGGCTCTAGTTAATACTGTGTCATGTACTTGAAATTCACTGGGAGAGTACACCTTAAGAATCCCCCCACATATGCAATATAAGGTAACTGTGCGGTGGTGGATGTGTTAATTATCTTGATTATGGCAACCATTTCATAATGTGTATGTATATTAAATCATCACATGCATAGCTTTTTAAAAAACTCACATTGCACACCCTAAATATACACAATTTTTTGTCAGTTATACTTCAATAAAACTGGGGGTAATAAAAAGCCTTATGGCAACTATTAAAATGTTTGTTTCCTTCCTCTTTAGGCATTTTTTCTTTCAATACTGGTGACCGAAGACAGCAACACTATTTTAATAGTTCAGGTAAGTACTTCATTTTGTTTAATAAATTTTAACTGAATTTTTAAAAACTACAGTGTTGACCCCTGTAGAGCCACTTTAAGGTAATGCTAGTTGATGGTGTCGTGGAGCAGTGCACACGTGATGTCGTTGTGCCTCCGTCGTGCCTGGAAGCTCGATGGTGCGCTAGCCCAGGGGGCATATCTGGGTGGGTGGGTTGGGAAGACCAAGCAAGGAGATAACAATGCCATGGAGACATTGTATGATGAGCATGAGGTCTCTCAGACATGAAGAGATTCATACTAGATTGAGGCCCCTTTATTCTCAGCCTAAGAGAACGCCCTGCTGGCTAAGTGTTAGAAGTTAGTTTCAGACACACCGTTCTCCCTAATTCTCCCCAACTACCTATTCAGAAAGAATCACACTTATCCTGAGATAGGCATTCCTCTGATAGTTAATGCTGTGGATTTTCTAGGTGTCTGTGTAAACAGGTAGAAGGGACTTCTGATTAAAGCATGTGACCTGCTTTAAGCCAGGGCCCTTACATTCCAGCCTGGGAAGGCTGCCCTGTATTATCCCGGAGCAGAAACGGCAGCAGGTCTTAAAGAAGCCAGGGGCTCCGGAAGCCCTGGGTCTCTTTTACAGTTGTGCCTGTTGAAAACTGCGGTAGCTTAAATCTGGGGCCTGCAGTCTTTGATGTCAAGGGCCAGGGAGCTAATGTTTAAGATTCTAAGGACTCTGTTGGCCATATGGTCTCTGTCACAACCGGTCAGCCTGTCACTGGCCTGAAAGCAGCCATAGAGAGACAATTCATAAACAAAGGGGCGTGGCTGCATTCCAATGAAGCCTTACGTACAAAAGCGGGTTGACTTCGGACCACAGGTTGTAGCTTTTTGACCCCTGGCTAATTGCCTCCATTTCACTCCTCAGGATATTCCTGTTCTTCTTCAACTCCGGAACATAGTTACAACAGCTGTCTTGAAGTCCCTGACTGCTAATTCTGTCCTCTCTCTACATGTAGTTCTTTCTTGCATCTTTCATTAGATTGCTCTTTCTCCTGGTTGTGGGTCACTGATTTGCGTACTTAGTGAGATGTGATTGGATGGTAGACATTGCATATATTGTGGTGTTGAGAACTCAAGTTTATCTTCTTTTAAAGGAAACTGGACTCTGTTCTGGCACTCAGTTAAGTTCCTTGGCAATTAGTTTGATCCTTCTAGGGCTTGTTTTAAAATTAGTTAGAATTGATCTAAAGTAATTTTTCAGGGGGTTCATGCCACACTATTACTGAGGCGTTGCTTTTCTGAGATCTCTCCTGAATGCCTTTTGTTCCACGAGGGCTCTCCAGTCCTGCTGGATGGAACGCTAAGGTCTCCCAGCCCTGCCTGAGCCCCGGGAGCTGTTCAGATTATAGCTCTGTCATTCTTGGCCTGGCCTCATGGAATGTCTAAGCACCCATGGCTTAATAGTCGGCAAACCTCCAAGGAACTCCATGCAGATGTCGGGAGGTTTCTTCATACACCCAGTTCTCTCCTTGTGTGTACTCCGCCCTGCAAATTCCAACTCAGTGCAGGGAGTCAGCCACGTTCCCCATCCCAGTACCACTGCCTGGGAAGTGCCCCAGGCTCATTTCCTTGACTTCCTTTCTCTAAAGGTTTGAAATCCTGTACCACCTGTTACACCACACCCGAAAACATTAGTTTCATATATTTTCTCCAGTCCTCTACTCGATTATGGTGGACGGCTAGTCCAGTTCACTTCCTTCCTCCAGACAGAAGGAGTCTGTGCAGCAATTTGAATGGAGTGCACTCAGCACGGGGCCTGGGCGGGCGGGGAGGGGCTGCAGTTTCTGAGGGTTACCCAGAGGACTGCTGGGTCTCCATCAGTGGGGGGCAGTTTGGGAAGGCAGCGTCGGTAAAGGGCTTTCCAGGCCTTTATGAAAAGGCCTGTTTGGAATTATCTAGAATGTGCTGGGGTGCCACTGAAGGATTTAATCAGTGGAGTGATTCTGTTGGAGTGACAAGTTATGTATTTGATGTAGTTCTAAAGCCTGGGATCATGAATATCAATCCTGGCTGTCTATATGAATCAACTGAAAGCTTTTACAACATGCCTCAAATTCACCCCAGACTCACTAAATCCGAGTAGGGATGGAGACAGGGCCTTGGACCCTTTTTTAAAAGCTTCCTAGTTGATTCGAATGGGACCAGTAACAAAGATCATAGGCTTACTTAGGGGTTACCTCGGTTTGGGGACCTCAGAAGTGAAGACTGTCACTGCCCCCTAGAAGAGGCTTCCAGAGCTGGTGATGTGTTTGCTTAAAATCCTGGAAATGTGGCCTCGGTGCAGGAGAGGGACAGCGGCTGGGCGGTGCCCCTCTGCCCACCTCTGCCTGCGGGCGCGCCTGAAGGGAGGGCGCACGCTGGTTAGGTATCGCACAGCTGCTATGTACGGTGGGCCTCGAACAACACAGGCTTGATCCACGCAGGTCCACTACGTGTGGAGTTTTTCAATAAATACATCCGCACTGTAAACGTATTTTCTCTTCATCCATATTTCCTTAATAACATTTTCTCTTCTCTAACTTAGTTTATTGTAAGAATACAATATGTAATACACATAACATCCAAAACATGTGTTCATGAACTGTTAATGTTAACGGTAAAGCTTCCGGTCCACAGGAGGCAGTTCGTAGTTAAGTTCTGGGGTGGTTAAAAGTTGTACGCAGATGATTGACTGCGTGGGGGTGGGGTTAGGTGCCCCTAACCCCAGCATTGTCCAAGGGTCAACTGTAGAGTCACGTGGAGGAGCATTGGGTCCTTCTGTCGTTGAGTGTAGGGAACAGTTTATACTGACTTCAGTACAAAGGGGCTTTATTGGCCTGCATGACTAAAAACTGGGGTTGGATGGGAAGGCCACTTTGGTTGTACCTCCCATGACAACTTCTGTCTTCCTGATGACTTTATTCTCTCCACTGGGCAGGCAGCATGGCCTCTCACACCTTGAAGTTATTAGAGGAAAAAGGGCTTCCCTCCTGGTTCATTTTTCACAGTTTCCCAAAGAAACAAGAACGTTCCCCTGGACAAAAAGAGTAGTGCACAGACATGGCATAAACTACCACAGATTACCTAGTTTTAGTATCTCATGTGGCAGCTGGGGAAGGGAGGTTTAGAAATGTTAAGTAACTTGGCTAATGTCAGACAGGCTGTCGGTATTAGGACGAGGACTGAACGTGCAGGTCACTGATTCCTAGCCCCTGCTTTTCCTGTTGGTCAGGGGTATGAGATGGGCGTTCTGCTGATTTAATCTTACAAAACAGAGCAGTCTCCCTTCCTGTTTTTTCTTCCCTTTTATTGCAATTACTTAAAAAAAGGAGTGGGCGGGGCGGGGGTAGAGGGGGCGGCTGCTTCTTTCTTGCTTTATGTGAAAGAGGCTTATGCACAGCAAAACACACAGACCAGGGAACTAAAGGCAAAAATAAAAGCCCCCTTTACCTTTCCGCCTGTCCCCGGTGAGATCGCCTCATTTACATTCCTTTCTCTGAAGTGATTGGATTTCTTCAAAGGCAGCGCTACACCAGGCCAGGTGGCCAAGCTCACGGTCATCGAGGGAACTTTGATGAGAGCATATGCATCTCTTAAAAGCAATGGTTTATTCTGACTGTGGCTGTCCTTAGCCGAAAAAGCCTTTAGAGGCCAAAGAACCTCATGAATGTTTAAAAAGCTGCTGCCAATTTTTCTCCTCTTGGTGGTGTTCCTTGATCTCTTTTGCCATGAAGTCCTGGTATGTGTATAAAGAACAGATGGAGGAATAGTTAAGAGAGTAATGATAACCAGAGTCTCTTTTACTGTGGAGCCAAAGTATAGGTCTACAAAAGAATATTAAACTAGTATTCATCGCAGGACATAATTTAACTTATCTATCCTATGTGTTTGATTGTTAGATTTTTCCAACCATGTTTATTACGAAGATTTAGAAATACCTGATTGGCCCAGCAGAACAGCTGTGGAAAATTTTTGGCCCTAGGAGACCTGTTCTCATTATAATAGATGTGGATGGGATTGTTGGGCTCGTTGATGATTTATGACTGGCGATATAGAACCTTTAACCACACTGATCTTTTTGACTTAAGGCACTAAAACTTTCCCTCTCCCCACGCTTTGTCTGACAAGCACTGAATTAGAGTTTATAATATTCAGATGTTTAGAGTTGTAGAGTTTATTTGATTAAGTCTGGGTTGTTGTTTTTTAAGAAATAATGTGAAGAAAAATGTTTTTATATGCCAAGAAAATGTTGCCTGAAATCATAGCAAACCTACCTGGAGATTAAAACTCTACAGATGGAGCTGGTATTTCTGATATCTGTCCAGGATGGGTATGTGGAGCTTTTGGGTTATACTGGATTTTGAATTAGCTGAACATGTTTGAGGGTGAGTAGGTAGGAGCGCTGCTTACACCTCCTGTAACAGAATGACTTTCCACAGGGGTTTGAAAGTGGTAATGAGCCATATGGGTAAGTGCCCAATATGCATTTTTGTTGCAATAACGTAATTGGCGGTCTTAGGGAATTGGACAGTCTCTCTTTTCAGGGATTGCTGAAGCATCGCATGGTATTCAGTGACATCCATAAATAGTCTGTTATGTTTTAGAATAGTTGCCCCTCTCTCTTGTTCTTTGTGAGGAAGATACATCGATTGTGATTTGACGATTTATCCTTATATGGACGTTGTCTCCTGTGTGTGCTTATAGTATAGTGTAAAAGCAGGATTGGTAGGCATGCCCCAGTCTCCTTCACTCTCAGGACAGCAGGCTTGCCGGTGGGTGTTATTCACAGCAGTGGGAGCTGAGTCTTCCTGATAGTTCTGTTGACGAGAGACCAATCTGAGGAAAGGCTTCCATTTTTAAAATTGTATCCAGATCCCACTTCAGCCCTAAACCACTGTGAGGATTTGGGAAATTTACTTATATCCTTCTCCCATTTTAAATGTCGTAATGTTAATATTCTGACATGGGAAATGTGAGAAAGTAGAAGTTGGGTTATTGGAGGAAGTTAGTAAATTGTCACTAATTTTTACTACATGAGGAGCAAGTCTTGTCAGAATTAGTTGCCACCCCAAAAAAATCCAGAACAATTTTATTTAGTTTTTATTTAAACTATTCATTTTTGTGACATTCAAGGACATTCAGTAAAGCAGTACCAAGATAGGAGAGTGTGGCATTTATCAGTAAGACCGGATAAAGGCTCTGAATAGACATTTCTCTAAAGAAGATATACAGATGGCCAATAAGCACATGAAAAGATGCTCCACATCATTAGTTATCAAAACCATAGTGAGATTACCACTTAACACCCACTAGAATTGCTATCATTGAAAAGACAAATAGCAGCAAGTGTTGGTGAGGATGTGGAGAATTCTGAACCCATATATATTGCCATGTGAATGTAAAATGGTGCAATTGCTTTGGAAAACATTCTGACAGTTTCTAGCAGTTAAACAAAACTACCATATGACCCAGCAATTCCACTCCTAGTATGTACCCAAGAGAAGTGAAAACATGTCCATGCAAAAGCTTGTACACAAATGTTTATAGCAGCATTATTCACAGTAGTTAAGTGGTAAAAATAACCTTCATGTCTACCACCTGATGAATGAATAAACCAAATGTGACATAGTCACACAATGGAATGTTATTGAGCCATGAAAAAGAGTGAAGTACTGATTCGTGCTACAACATGGGTGAACCCTGAAAACATTATGCTAAGTGAAATAAACCAGAGACAAAATGCCACATGTTATATGACTCAATTTATGTGCTTGTCCAGAATAGGCTTAACAATAGGAACAGGAAGTAGATTAGTGGTTACTTAGGGCTGGGAAAAATGTTGGGGGAGTAGCTAAAGGCTACAGGTTTCTTGGGGGAGAGTGTTAAAAAATGCTCTAAAATTAATCCATCGTGGTGTTGGTGGCACAACTCTGTGAATATACTAAAAGCCAATGAGTCACACAGTAAACTGGTAAATTGTATAGGATGTCAATTATATCTCCATAAAGCATTATAAAACATAACCACTAGGCACAAATACTTTACATGACAAATACTTTTATGAACACATTTAATTGCATTATAATGTCAGCTGAAGCTGAATTGGTGTATTTTATTGTCATTTCATTGTTTATAATAAAATAAAGACTTTTAGAGTCCCAGAAGATTCGTATGGGAAATAGTTAAACTTTCTGCCCTCTCTGTCTTGTATATTAGGAAAGCTTTTTATTCATGACCAACACAAAAGTAAATTTTGAAATAGCTTGAGGACCAATTATCAAAGATTCTGAATATGAGATCTCAGTTTACTGGATTCTACACAACAGTGTTCCTGTTTTTGGCTTGATTGTGAGTTTTTTTCCTATAGCCTTATTAAAGCAATCAGGTTACTTACACCCAGGCATGTCCTGTGATTTTGACTGATATGGTGACGTATGACATAAGACTAATAGCGAAAGGTAGGAATTTTCATCAACAACAAAAAGCATATAAATTAAACATTTGAAACATCATCTTCAAAGAGTATAAAAGAAGGGAAAAAATAAAACAGACTATTACTTCTCTTCCGTTATGCCAGCATTAGCTTGGTAATTTTCTCTGGGGGGAAAAAAATCTCTTCCCAGAGAATTCCATAAAAACGGGTGATTGAAGAGAATGTAAGGAGTAAACCCAAACTGATTTCAAAAGATTGATGGAAATAACCTTCCAAAAGTGAACTTTGCTCTGTAATTGACCTTTACTAATGTGGTATCTAAGTTAGGTACCTAAGCGTTATTTAATGGCCAGGTTGTCTCTTCTCTCATTTTACCTAGTAACTTATTTCTTAAAACTGATAGAAACTATGATCTCTGATATGGAATTGTAATTACAGGGTCATTGGCTTGTATATCCTAACATACTTATTACCACCCAAAATATCATACCCAGCACAGATATCCTGTCGTATACATAGTAGATGTTGGCCTGCCTCTCATGGCACGGAGCCACTGGACAGTAAGGCTTTGTCAACTGTCATTTCAACCATCCCTTGACTCCTGTCAGGACTTCACTGAAAATACTCTAAGTGTTAAGTAGCCCTAAGCTGGAAGAATTCGTTGATATGTCATCAGTCCATTTCGGGTCCCCTCTCCACTCCAGGACCACTGACTACCTTCTAAATTAATACCGTCTTCCTCTGCAGCACATAAGGATGCAGCTGCGCCCAGCCCTGTGCTGAGCTCTGTGGATACAAGACAGCCATTGCCCAGCCTCACGGAGGAATTCTCCATTCGCCATCTTTTCTTATTTTGAGGATTATTACTACACTCAAAATAACGACAGGAATTGTTTTCTTGCCTTTGCTTTCGAAACGGGAAGTGTGAAAAGAACAGTCCATGACCGTATTCTGTCCCTTGTTCGTTGATCCCGTAGGTCACTCTGGGTTTGGGGGTTATTACCCCTACAGCAGGCCAGGCTACCAGGAGGCGGGGCCCAGGAGCTATGACGCCTACACAGCAGGCCTGAGCGAGGAGGAGCAGCTGGAGCGGGCGCTGCGGGCCAGCCTCCAGGACCACGGTAGGACTTTGCGCCCTTCACTTACTTTAAAGCATACCTCGCGTGGCCAGATGGTCTGAGAAAGGACTATTTGCAGCAAATGAAACTTTAAATAGTTTATGAAAAGGCTCTGTAGATGGGAAAACGTGCACACTGTGATTACAGAGAGCGGGGTGTGATACCCTATGCCCTACAACCTAGGCTCGTCGGGTGCCAGACTGTGTATGTATTGTTAAAGCGCTTCCTTTTATAGGCCTGCTGCACGCAGTGCTTTGGCATCAGAATCAAGAAACTTAAAAAAAAAATAAAAAAACCTTCGGTGCATGGGAAGGGCAGTTTTCTTTGGGATTCACACCTGAAAACCAGGCTCTATGTCCCTGTCCGTCACGGTTGCCCACAAGCCTTCCTGACAGTCACATGCAGAGCTCGAGATACATCCAAAGTCAAGGTTCCACCCTACCTCCTGAGCCAGTCTCTCTTTGGGCAGAGTCTGGGAATCTGTATTTTTACCTGGCTTTCCAGAAGATTCTTTTACAAACTGATACATGAAAACCACTCCATTTATTTAGCCATCTCTATAGTGGCCCTGGCGTATGAGTTCGGGTGTTACTGTTATTACTATTTTTTAGTAGTGACTAGAAGTCCTCTAGTCAAACAAGAAGCGTTAATTAAGGTCATATTGTTTCATGGACTGCGTTAGGTACACTAGTGAATACAGAGAGGTAAAAGATGGAAATCTGTCCTCAAACAGTTCACAGGCTCTGGTAGGGGGACGCCTGCTGGGTGCCCTCACTCCCAGGTGCCTAAGAGAGGCTGAGGCCAAGTGCTGTCAGCGTGTCACCGTGGGGGCGACCTTTCCATTGGACCTTTGAGAGTGTGGAGGGTTTGCAGAGATGTGGAAGGGCCTTGCCAACGGGAGTCAGTGCACGGACACAGGAGAGAGGGGCGTGGTCAGCCCTCACTTCTGGAGGGACCCTTCCGGGGAGAAGGGGAGGAAGAGTGGGGAGCGAGGCTGGGGCCTGACCACAGGTCCTAGAAGTGTAAACAGGCCAGGCGGAAAGAGGCTTGGCGTCTAGCGTAAATGCCAACGGAGTTCTGCCCGGGGGAGTGATGGGACCAGAACTGTGTGTCGGCAGAGGAGAACTGAGCGCCTGTGGGAGGAACCAGGCAGTAGGCTAGATGATAGGAATGCTAAATTGTCACAGCTTGGTGCCTGACTTGAAGGAATATGGTCTCAGCAGCGGCAGCGTGCACGGAGGTGGGGAATGACGGCAAGAGGGGGACAAGCCGGATGACCGCTGCAGAGTGAGCAGGACAAGAAAGCTTAAGTGATGATGATGGCGAGGGAAATGGACAGGGAGAGACAAAGGAATGTTTCTCAGGTGAAGGGTATCAGAACGATGGTGTATCGGTTGGCTGATACTGTGTAACAAATCTCTGTAACACATGTGCCTCGAAACAGTAAACATTCCTTCTTGCTCCTGAGTGTGTGAGTCAGCTGCGTCACTGCAGGCTGGTGTGATTTTGGCTGGTACACTAAGGGGTCTGCAGTGGTCAGCGGGGGACCGGCTGCTCTCCGATGGCCTCATTGACATGCCTAAATCCCTGTTGTCCAAGGTGACAATGGGGGTCAGGCCGCATGCCACTCCTGTCCCAGCAGGCCAGCCCCGGCTCCTTCACAGCCCTCACCACAAGGCTTCCGAGAGTGGAGACCAGCAAAGGCCTGCACTGGTGCATCGTCAGCTCCACTGTATCTTGTCACTGAAACGAGCCAAGATAAGTGCAGATTCGTGAGATGGGGAAGCAGACCCACCTCTTCCTGGGAGGAGCTGCAACGTCACACCGCCAAGAGCGCGAGCAGAAGGAGAAGCACAGAATTTCGGCCATTCTTGCAGTCCCCTCGCCGCATGTGTCCTAGGGCTGCCAGCGTCACGGTCACCAGAAACCCACCTTGGCCTGGGAGTCCCGAACTCAGGCCATGGGGCCCAGCGCCTGCATAGTAACACATTTTCATGGTTACCCCTGTACCCGCAGGAGTTTAAGCACTACTAGGCGGATAGGGGATAATATGGGCCAAGTAGATTAAAGCAAAGCTGCTCAGCATGGACTTTGCACCGAGCTTTATTTGGCACCCCCAAAGGACAGGGCAAGTGATGGAGCTGTTCTCTATCTCGGTTGTTGGGGTAGATACACAACTCTTTGCTCTTGTCGACATTCAGATAACTACAGCACCAAGAGCAAATTTGAGTCTAAAGAAATTTTAAAAGAAGTAAATAAAAATTAACAGGAAACCCAGCGAAGTAGCTGATAGTCTTGACAAAGATCATCGAAGATCGGTAGGAAGTTGTTAAGAAATAGGACCTTCGTACAGTGAGACAGTATCACCTTCCAGCAGACGCGCTTATGGCAAAGGGGAAACGCACCTTTGTGACGGAGAGAGCTGGCTGTCACCACCTGAACCCAGCGATCAAATCTGAGAGTATTATTAGCGGGATGACCTGACATCCCATGTCCCCAAATAGGATGCAAGATGCGGGACGCAGCATCAGTGTGACATATCCGGGCTGAAAAAGCTCATCTTGACTCTAATTAAGTCGTCACATTTACGTGTCGCTGTGCGGTAAGTGCTTGGACTAGCAGAACAGTGACCAACACCACGGGGAAATAACCAGACCAACTGTGGGATTGCCACAGTTCAGTGAGGCTGGTCTCCGGGCGGGAGGGGGCCCGGGGGCAGAATGTCATTAATAAAAAAAAAAGCAGGCTGTGGTTTTTGTATTAAAAGGAAATAACCAAATGTGACATGAGAACCTTTAACAACTGGCTATCAAAGACATGTTTCGAGAAAACTGGGAATTTTGTATTCGGACCGGATATGAGATGTTATTAGGGAAATAATGTAACTCTCTTCGATGCGACCGTGGTATTGTGGTTAAGCAGCAGAAGGTCCTGCGTTCTTGGGAAGTGCACGCTGATGTATTTAGAAGCAAAATAATACGATGTTGGTAACCTGCTTCCAAAGGTCACCCAAACAACTCTCTCCTCTCTCTTCTTGCCTTTCTCCCTCTCTTGCTCCTCCCTCTACAAGTTCTACATTCAGACAGTTTTGGGAAACTGCAAACTATACCCCCTTGAAGACCCCAAATGACACTGGTGTACAGTCCATTCAAATGAGCTCTGCACTCAGGAAACCAGTTTATTAAATTAATGCTTTCCAACCGTGTTTGACCACCAAACTTTATTTTCAGTGAATGGTTTTAAGAGCATATGGATCTAGTTCTGAGAAAGCTGATCGAAAGGGCCTTCTTGAAATGCATTATAGAGTAATTGGTGACAGCAAAAGCTTTACAAATTATCTTAATTTCAATTATGTTTTCCTGGCAACAGTTCATGATTGTCTTGTTAAGGATGAGAAACCAAGGAGGGATTTTTAAAAAGACATTTATTACTTTTAGCCTTTTATTTGTATGGAAAAATATTTGGTTTGCATTTATTTTATAAAATTCTGGCCATATACTTAGTACATTACTATTCTGTACCTTACTTTATCTCATTCACTATTATGTTGTAATTATATTTTCATGCCACTAAATTTTGAACATATAGATCCTACATATATATTCTTAGATTTATACCTAAGTATTTCTCTCTCTCTTTTTTTTTTTTTTGGACATAGAACTATGATACATTATAAATAGAACTTGCAAAAAGTGTTCTGTGTTTGTTGAGATTATTACACACTTTTTCTCCTTTGGTCTGCGGACATACTAAATTGTTTTGATTTTCAAAGTTGAAGCAGGGTTGTATCCCCAGGATGAGTATCAGCTGGTTGTGATACTTTATGGTCCATCCTGGTGCAAGTGCCACGTGCACCTGAAAGCTATGTGTGCTGTGCTCTAGCTGGGTGGCGTATTCTATAGCGGTTAGTTACATTAACTCAGCGGGTGGTGGAGGTCGTGTTGTTCAGGTCTTCTCCATCGTACTGATTGCCTGTCCACATGTACTGTTGGATACTGTGGGTATTTTGACTTACACAGAATTCCTGTGAGTGATGTGGAACACATATTGTTGTTCTGGGTACCGTCAGAGCACCAAAGGCTTCCGGTTCCTCCTGCATCACCTTGTTTTTGAGTGGGGGCTGATTTGCCAGGGAGTTTTTCCCAGTGTCTGCTTGAACTTCAGTTCCTCTCCTTCACACCAGAGCTCGGCCAGGCCCTCCGTCCGCCCTGCTCCTGTCTCCCCACGGCACACGCTGCTGTTTCTCGTTACTCTCTGCTCTTCAGTCGGATGGTGGGAGGCAAGTAGGGGTATGCTCTGATTTTTTCCCCCATCCAATATTTGTATTCTCTTTATAAATAGAGTAAGATAAGGTTTGTTTGTTTTTTAAATTAAGTATAGTTGACATACCATATTAAACGATTAGTTTCAGGTACACAGCATAGTGACAGCAGCATTAAGCCTTAGTCTTGGGCAGTCGCTGTGTCCCTCGGTGTGCAGGTGTCCCTGCGCCTCCCCCAGGTTTAGAGATGAGTTTTGTTTTGTTTTGCCTTTCTCCCAGTCATTTACGGATTTTGCTCCATCAGGAGGGCAGTGGAGAAGGAGCCAGGCAGCCTTTGATAGGACCTCCCCTGCAGTGACTGCTGTTCCCTCCCCAGGAGTGGCAAAGGGCACTGCCTCTGGACTCTCACCTACCTCTTTTGTGAGGACCCCCTGAGGTCCAGAGAAGAGCTGAAAGTGGGTGTGAATTCCTTGCTGTTCTGTGTTACATAGTATGTGGATATATTCCGTGTTCTCTTGCTAGCTCACACTTGAGCAATTTGTTAACGGTTTTGGCTACAATCTTTTTGCTAGTGGCCAGCAGTGGATCCTAGGTAGGCAAGAGCTCCCGTAGCATTTTAGGCTTCTGTTTTGTTGGGTGCCCTACTGTCCCAGCTCTCTGACGGGTTCAGGAAAAGTTATTAATTTGCAGATTGTTCAACATTTATATTTATTGTAAGGATGGGACGATGCTTTTTCCAGCT